TTCCTCGTCACCTATCAATTTGCTGGCGACGCACCCCACTCTGCACATGCGACCGCTGCCGCACCTGCCGCATGATTAAATTGGACTCCATCGGCTCGGACGACTCTTTCGAGCAACTTTGACGTTCAGCAGAGCCAAAAAGGAAAGCGCCTTGCTGGACTGTCACCTCCGAAGAAGTCCGCTAGTGACTGCCCAGCGTACCGCCAACATTTATTGTGCGCCAGTCATGCGCCTCGTGGTTTCCGTGCTTTCCTCGCACCCCACCGTTGCTTCACCATCTCGTACTAGTACTATCCGTAATCCAGAGCGGTGACGTTCTCAGGTTGAGACATGATGACCGCAAGAAACCCCGTCAGGATCCCGACTCCTCAGCAAAATAAAACCGGGGCCGCGACACTGAGTGGAGTCATCACCCGCCCGTTCGCCCCGGAAGTCATTTCCCTGTTCCCGCCCTCGTGGCCGGGAAATTCTCCTCGTCGCGGACCTCTTTGCGACCCTGTCCCGCTCCCTCTTTCGGGGTTGACAGTGGCCCGCCGTCACACTCTCTGGCACAACCCAGAAGGGCCAAGATTGAGGGGATCCCCCGGGGGTGTGTGGGTGGGGGGAGGCTGTGGGAGTGCCAAACCGAAAACTCGCCGAGCAGTAACTAACTAGTTAACGGCCGATGTCTCGAGACGATTTCCGAACTGTCGGGTCTGAATAAAGCGCTCTGCCATCTGGTGGCCCCGGGCAACACGCGGAGAGACGTATGTAGCTGAGGAATAACTAAGGCAACTAACACCATACATACATACATAGCAGTGCTGGTGGAGGGTACCGACAAGCTGGGCATTAGCTGTGGACCCTCGTGCTGCTGGGACTGGGGAACCAATTCCGGATATATAGTGCCCACTACCACGCAATCCGTTCCTGCAACACGGAATACTACAACAGTACGCCCTTGGCCCGCAATCGCTCGTGTCGTCCCGCGCTTGCTCCCGTGCTCCACGCTGCTGTCTCCGTGCCGCGGTGTTGCTTTGGGCCCGTTGCAGGGCGGGACAGATTGCGGAGGATTCTCACCTCGGAGCACGGATTATGCGGTGTGTTAATATTCACACCGACTTCGGCGCAAATTATACCTGGCTCATTGCCAGCGGGGCCCGGCGGACCGGACACGGGGCACGGAACCGCGCGGAGAGGCCCCAAAGTCCCGGGCATGATCGCCGCCGCCAGCGGGACCCGGAGATGACCAGGATCTCGCCCCGGCAGCTCCAACAAGCGAACGGACGGGACGGGGCACAGACCCAACGTTAGTTCAGACGGTGCATCCGCCTGTTGGGAGACGGGACGGAAAGGAGATGGGACGAAAAGCCACAGGGCACATCAAAGGTGCAATTTTCTGGTACCGACGGGAGCGCTTGGTCCTTTTTCCTTGTCCCAGATCTTGGTTGGAGCGAACAGACCCGCGGGCCCGCCATGTCACCTTAATCCTAATCCTGGTGCATTCTCTGAGGCTGCAAATCCGGGTTCCAAGTTGCCCTCTCAGACCACCGCCCCGCATCCTTGGGGATGAATCCGCCGTGTCACAGCAGCATGCATCAGCTGCGTGATGGGACAGGTTGTGCCCGAGCACCCCTCGGCTCATACCAGACCAGACACACCCCGTCTAGTTATCAACATCGCGGGCACGAGATCGAGGGTGTGAGCCGTCACGACTGGGACATTGGGTACCTCCATTACATACATGATCTGCGCTGCTCCAGCACGCGGTGTGCTTCCCTGGGGCGATCACACCTGTCAGGGCCTGGATCTCAGTCCAAGACGGCGTGCTCCTCATGCCGCATTTCCCCGTTCCCATATTGGCCCCGGCACAGCGCTTATGTCCATCACGCACCCCATCTCCCGAAAAAGCCGAGATTAAAGGACGTTGAGAAGGCCATACCGAACGGCTTCCGCCCCACGGACCGCGATCGCGTGGTAGCGTATCGTGAATTCCAAAAACGGGTGTGGCCCGCGAGGTTGGCAATGGACCCAACTTAACTCAGCCAGTGCCCGGAAGCCGGAAAAAGAATACCGACGGCGGTTATGCCACCTCTCCGTGTGCCGGATTGGTCTGACGGGCGCCCCTTGACCGCCGTGTTCATCGGACCCAGCATCTCCACCCCCGCCGACAACATACCAAAGCAATGCGGCTCGTAGAGTTGTTCCCCGATGATGCTCGATGGCTTGCATCATGCCGGATTTTGTTGTTACCATAATCGATACCGGGCCCGGAATTCCGGTTTATGGTGGATCGGCCACTCAATTGCCTGCTTCTCGGGTTATTCGACCATTCAGCGGCGATTCTTCCAAGAGAAGGCGACTCGTCCAGCGTTGTTCCTGGCAGGAAGGCACAGCGCAATGCCATCACGTCACTTGCAGAGCACGCTGTGCCTGCGCTCGTTGCCATCTGTGGGCAAAAGTAGTGCTAGGAAGCGCGTGAATTTTCATGTTTGACCAGATATCGTCTCGCTCCGTGTGGTAACGTTACCAACACTCACCATGTTGGTCTATCTCCAACCCTACATTACTAGGCAAGAAGTCCGATAAGCCCCGGGTTGTTCGAAACCATCCCCGGCTAAGGAAAAGGGGGCTCATGGTGCTACGAGAAGGGACCACATTTCGGAACTTCATAGAGTGGTACGCCCGAGTCGGGTCTTGCTTGGGGCGAGGAAAGGCCATGACCAGCCCCTCGGAATGGTCAAAGTGAACTGGGGACAAGCGGTCAGTCGGTAACATCCTCGGCAGAGGATAAGGTAGGTGGTTCTACGAACCTCTGCTCGTGTGTCCAGATGGAAGGATATAGAATGAACCGACTCGGCAGCTTGCGGTGGCTGGTCGTGTTACTTGTGGGTGTATATGGCCATCCGTCCCCCATGTGCCCTCGACTCATTGGAGGCCAAGAAGGAGACTCGTGGTTCGATCAAATCGTGGGTAGAGCCGTGCAGCGCCGCGAGGGAATATGTGTAGGAGGTACGCTGTTGTAAAACGCTCACCACGAACTATATGGCGGGCCGGAAGAGGTTGTTAGGTATTCCATACCGCCTCGGGGCCGTGACACCTCTCTCGGTTCCACCCGCGGCATCTATAATTCCAAACCAGCCACGGTCAAGGGCAAGGGGTCATAAGGAGAGTAGGAAGAGGAATGCTAGCCACATGAATATAATCTCGTGTCCCGAGTAAACTGCCATACCACCACAAAAGTGATCCTCCGCAGCTGGGTACACAGTAATACTGAGAACAGACTAGATCCCCACTAATCGGGATATTTTTCCCTGCCCCCAACGTGGAACTATACTCAGCATCGTGTGTCCGCCCACTGTATTCCCCCTTTCCTACCCCCTTTCCCGTTTCCCCTTCTGTCCAAGTAACTCGACGTGAGTAAACGCACCCCCTCCCCCCATCCAAATCCTGCATTATCCCCTCATGTAGAGCCGGCTATCTTGATCTTCCTGCGTAAACGAGTGACGTATAACCCCCAAACCTTCGCATCTTCTTAGTGACACAAAACACACACACCCCCCCTCAGAACCAAACCAACAAACGAATCAACTCATAACCAACCACCATTCAGCCACCACCCACGGTAACCAAGTCCCCATCAGTCAACCCCCCACCCAAACCACACCAACCTTAAAACCTAACAACACAACACAACCCAACCCTCGGCTCTCGGAAACCGGGAGCGAGAAAAAAAGGGGGTGGCATCATCATCATCATCATCATAATCATATGCATGCACACATGCACACATGCACACAATATGCACGCCCGCCCGCATTGCATATGATATGATGATGATATGATGCATGGGGAGGTGGGGGGGGGGGGGGAGCGCATGCAGGCTACCGCGGGCCTCGGCGTGGACGGCAACACAAGACCGACGGCACACAAGATCTGGTGCGACGGTGGCGCGGCCGCGGGTTGGGGGGGGGGGTGAGGGTTTCCGAGACATGACGGTTGGGGGAGAGGGAAGGTAAGGGATGTGTGTAGTGTGGTGGGTGGGTGATCAGTCGAGTCGGGCGTTTCGCGCCGGGTTGAGGTTGCGTTGGGTTTGCGTTGCGTTGGGGGGGGGTGGTTTAGGAGGGTGGTTTAGGGCTGGCTCGCTACCTACCTCGTGGGGGAATAGTAGGGGAGGCACATGCTGCTATGAGATTGGGAGGGCGGGAGTGGTACGGGGGATCATGCTCTAGTTGTGCTCTGCACTTGGGAAGAGGGAGAGGAGATCCTGTAGAATGACCCAAAACTGTTTCCTATGGGAATGGAGAGGGGGTAAAACAAGAGACAACAAAATTCAAAACGACACAACCTGCTATGCACCCTCCGACAAACAACACTGTAAAAAAACAAAACTACCGCAAGACATGCAATCAAGGGAATAGCCACAGCTTTTGCTGCGCAACCCGGCCAGCTACCTACCACGCCACACCCAACCCTTTATCCCCGGGCCTTGCCCTGGCTGGCCACCCACCACACACCGAGACATAGCTGTATCCTCCTGCATGTCTCGCGCGGCGACCAGGCAAGTAATATATCCCACACGACCACTGGCCCCCCTGCCTCAACCTGCAACACCACGCAAGGCGGGGAAGCAAGCCGGGAAGCCAACCGGGACAGACCCATAAACGGCTAGACGCACACCGCGCGCTACCAACACCTGATTCCTGCCCTCGCCTGGACACTCCTCCCCCATGCTGCCACTAGGGGGGGCATCCCCAGGTAGTCAAAAGCTGTATGCGGTACAACAGCGCCAGCCGCCGCCCGGCCGGCCACACAGTCCCACAGCATGGGATGGGTGTCTACCCCCCGTCTGCCGGCGCGTGAGAGTGTATGTATGTCTCCGCCTGCCGGAAAAAGGGGGGAATGGAGGGAGAGGAACGAGGCGAGCCGAAACGAAACGAAATGAAGAAAGGGCATCGAAAACCGCACTCTCCAGGGAAATCACTTTCCCCCGAGTCTCACACGCATCTCGATCATCTCGATCATGTCATCTTCTCGATCTCCCCGGTCCCATCAACCCCCACCGCCCCAAACTCACTACCCATCGACCGGCCAGCCACCTCACAGGCGGCTCTGGACGTCCGGATGGTCTTGATCACCCGGCCAGCGAGCCTCGGGCCAGACGCGGCGCATGGCTTCCCAGATGTGGCTGTAGAGAACGTTGGTGTTAGCAAAAGCAGCCAGCACACACACTCTCTCTCCTTATTTTCCCTGTCTCTGTGTCCATGTTTCTCCAACTTGAACAGAACCGAGCATACCCACCCCCCCCCCCTCTTTCCTCGCTTTGTGTCCCCTTGATTCAATTTCGGGGGCAAGAAAGGCCGGACGGAGGAAGCGGGGCGCGGGCTCAGTGAGACAACCAACAACACAAAACCGAACCCAACCCCAAACCCAAAATTTTGCGAACTTGGAACATACCTAACATGAACAATCTCAAGGCCGTCCTTGACCTCCTGGGGCAGGTCCTTCACGTCCTTGCGGTTCTGGGCCGGCAGCAGCACCGTCTTGACGCCGGCGCGCAGGGCGCCGATCAGCTTCTCCTTGATCCCGCCGACGGCGGTGATGCGTCCGCGTAGGGAAATTTCGCCCTGTGGTGTGTTGTGAAACGCTTGTGTTAGCTTACCGCGATCTGTCTGTGTGTGCGTGTGTGTGTGTGCGTGCGTGTGTGTATGTGGGAAAAAGGGGAGGGGTTGGAACGGACGTAAGGGTTGTTGCGGAGGGAGGGGGGGGGGGGGGGGGGGGGGGGGTTCACTTACGGTCATGGCCATGGTGGGCGGCACCGCTTTCCCCGAGAACAGGGAGATCAGCGCGATGGCCTGCGAGATGCCGCTGCTGGGCCCGTCTTTGGGAATGGAGCCCGACGGGCAGTGCACGTGGATGCTCCGGTCCTTCATGATGTTCTCGGCCGGGCCTTGCGTCAGGCCCAACTCGTAGGCATGCGCCTTCACCCACGTCAGAGCCACCTCGACGCTCTCCTTCAGGACGTCGCCCAGCTTGCCCGTGAGCTGCACCGTACCGGTGCCTGGCATGTCGGCCACCTCGATGAAGAGGATGCTGCCGTTGCCGCCGGAGCTGTATGCCACGAGACCGGTGACAATACCCGGCCTACTGGTCTTCTCGGCGATCTCTTCTTCGAACTTTTCGATGCCGAGGAATCGCTCCAGGTCATCGGTACTGAGGCGTGGGTTGTATTTCTCTGGGTGGCCCGCGTCTTTAGCGTCGGCGAACTCGACTGCCTTGCCGCGGAGCACTGAGGAGATTTCGCGTTCGAGATTGCGGACACCTGCTTCGCGGGTGTAGGACTCGATGATCTTGGAAACGACCTCCTCCGTGAACACGACCTGGTCCTCGCTCAACCCATTCACACGGATCTGCTTGGGCACCAAGTGCTGCATCGCAATATGGCGCTTCTCTAGCGTAGTGTAGCCGGGGAGGTAGATGGTCTCCATGCGGTCGAGCAGGGGCGGCGGGATCGTGTCGAGGCTGTTCGCCGTGGCGATGAACATGACCTTGCTCAGATCGATAGGGATGTTGACGTAGTGGTCCGTGAAGGAGTTATTCTGCTCGGGGTCAAGCACCTCCAACATCGCTGCTGACGGGTCCCCGTGCACGCTGGAGCCGCCCACCTTGTCGATCTCGTCGAGCAGGAAGACGGGGTTGGCCACGCCCACTTTCTTTAGGCCCTGGACGATGAGACCGGGCATGGCGGCAACATAGGTACGGCGGTGGCCCCGAATCTCTGCTTCATCCCTGACACCACCCAGCGAGATGCGATGGAACTTCCTCCCCAGCGCAATGGCTACTGACCGCGCGAGACTAGTTTTCCCGACACCCGGGGGCCCAATAAGCAGCAGAATCGGCGACTTGTCCACCATACGCCTGCTTCTCAGGACCTCCAACTTGGCGCCGCTGGCCTTAATTCTCTCATCTGCGCTTGGGTCCGGTGCGGGAACTTCCGTTTTCTCCTCTTTGCTCGCTGTCTCGACTGCACCAATCTCCTCCTCGGCCTTCTTGATCTGCGCATCGACATCATCGTTGATGGACTGCTTCAGCCTGAGGACGGCAAGGTATTCCAAGAGGCGCTTCTTGACATTCTCGAGCCCATAGTGGTCGTCGTCCAACTGCTTCCGCGCCCTGGAGAGGGTTTGAGGTCCCAGGCGGTCATCGGTGGTGGTCGTCCAGGGAATCTCGGCCAGTGTCTCGAGGTACGTCCGCGTGATGGCATACTCGGCTTGGGCGGGGTGGATCTTTTTCAGACGCTTGATCTCCCTGTCGGCGACCTTAGCGGCCTCTGGGGACAGTTTTGCATCATCGAGTTTCTTTTGCAGCTCGTCTAACTCATTCGGTTCTTCCTCCCCCTCCTCTTCGGGGTCACCACCGGACTTGCCCGCGAATCCCGAAGGTGGCAGCATGCCCGCCCCGGGGGTGCGGAATTTGGCTTGCCTTGACTTGTTTGGTCTGATTATCCCGTCGTTATCTTTCTTGCTCGGGTCCGAGTCGAAGGGTAGTGTCGTGGTGGTAACGGACATGATTTTAATGCTGTTCTTGATGTTGCCGACTTGGCGGTCGAGCAGCTCGATAACTTTGGAAACGCGCTCCTTCACGTCTAGCAGGGCCAGAACCTGCAGCTTCTCCTCGTAGGAGCTCTCGACGATGTTGGCCATGAAGTCGGCAAGAGAGCCCGGCTCCTTCTGCCTCGTAATGAAGAGGTCGAGCCGGCGGGCGAGCAAGGGCGACAGCCCGGGGGTGCCGCTTGACCGTGGGAGGACGGATGACAGCCTGAGGATGGCAACGAGCTCCCTCGACAGGAGTTTCAGGTGCTGGAAGAGCTCCTCGAGGGTCGCGTCGGGACGGCTGCCCTCTTCCTGGAAGTATACCACTTTGCCCTCCAAGTATGCCTTGTCATTGTAAATCTTATCCACCTTCACACGGGTAACACCCTCGACTAGCAGTGTGAACTCCCCCGTGCCGCGCCCCTCCACGCCAGTTATCTTTGCTGCGACGCCCCAGCCGAAGAGGTCGGCCTTGGTGGCTTTTGCCGGGTCGACATCAGCCCGGTCAGGTGCGGGAGCGGGGTTCTCGGCATCTTCGATCAGGAGTTGTCCGTCGGGGCCGATTAGAGGGGATGCGAGGGGGATGCAGACAATCGGGACGGTGTCGATACGGCCATTCGGTGTCTTGGAAGCAGCGCGGGTGTAGACGGCGGCGAGTAAGGAAGCGATGTCGGGACGGTTGAAAGAAACGGCGACTCGTTGGACGACCCCCGGTAGGAGCACGCTGTCGCGGGGCAGTGTGATGACCGGGAGAGTCGCTGTTTGTGTACGGACCATTTTCGAGTCGTGGTTGGTGGTTTTGCAGTCGCGCTGCAGATGCGATAGGATGCAATGCGATGCGCGACTCCGGTCGGGTCGAGAGGAGTTGTTGGTTTTGTTGGTTTGTTGGTTTGGGGGAAAGAGGAAGCAGGTAGGTAGTTATTCGGTATTTAATCGGCGTTGGGTTATTAATGCAAGGAATGCGGAATGTTTCTTTTTAGTTAATTGTTGTATTATTGTATTTGTTGCAGTTTCTCAATCCAAGGTTGGGACTCAAACCCATCATCGAAGCTCAAAGAAAGCCGGTGAAGTAGTGGCAGTTCAGCCAAGGCAAGAAGGAAGGCAGCTTGTCATTGTTGGTCGTCGGCGCGAAAGAGCATGGGGCTTCTTCTGCCGAGGCTCACGCGATTGGCGACGGGCACTGGGTGGCGGACAAAGCACCGGGGCGCCGGGACCCAATTGCCGGCGGCAAGAACCCCGGCCTCGGGAGGGGGATGACAGCCCCACAATCCACGATGCCCAGGGGCCTGCCAAGCCCATGCACCCGGCGGTCTGCTTCGCGCCATGTGATTGTGATAGTGATTGTGATTGTTGACATTCAGTAAAGCAAGCACGTTGATAGGATTAATCAAGTGCACGAACCCCTATTTATCCCAAAATACAAATTACACTCAGAACAGTCAGTTACTCATCCCATTAAGAGATAATAATAGCCTCGCATCTCAACTCATCCTCACACCTATTCCCAACTGACTACCATTACCCCTGACCGAGCCCCTGACAAAAACATGGAGCATGTTAACGACCCCCCCGGACATTGTACACCGACAAGACGCCGCCTCGCCGCCCACAACAACTCCCAAAGCGATGAGCAACCATGCAAAACGTGCCGTCCAATGTTGTCACGTTATACAACCCCATCAACTACACAGTAAACATTCAACATGGAGACGCCATACATGCCATGCAACATTACCCTTCCCCCCCCAACACCCACCCACCCCAACCCACCCCTATCCCTTCCCCCCTTCAAGTTCAAGACGATATGAGAAAAGCCAGACAAAAAACAACATCACACCCTCACTCAATGCCCCAACTGCAAAAACTCCCCCGTCCCCTTCATCCTCGCGCCACCCTGCTGTCCTTGCTGCTGTTGCTGCTGCTGCCCTTGCTGCGACGATGATTGCTGCTGAGGCGAAGCCGACAGCGACCCGGGCCCGCCACCCGCAGTCGACGGAGACGTCACCGTAACCGACGACGCCGGGCTGAGCTGGTACTGATACAGCCCCTGACCCTGCCCACCCTGCCCACCACCCTGACCACTCTGGCCACCCTGACCACCTTGCCCACCTTGCCCACCTTGACCAGAAGCACCACCACCACCCTGCCCCACATACAACTGCAACTGCGCCTGCTGCGGTGAAGGATGAAACGGAAACCCACCATCACGCGACCGCCCGCCCGTCATGCGGCGCATGCGGGAGCGGGTGCCCTGGGTGAGGGGGCGGATGACGTTCTCGAGAAAGAAGGAGCCGCCGGAGCCGCTACCGCTGCCGCCGCTGCCGCTGCCGCCGCCGCCGGACCCGTCGCCGTTGGCCGTGCTGGGCCGCTCGTCGTCGCCGTCCGAGAAGACGTCCTCGGGGAACTCGTCGTCCGACGTGAAGTCGCTTGTTGATGATGATGTTGCGGCTAGTTGTGCGTGGTAGGATGCGGGCGCGGAGGGGGAGGTGATGGAGCGCGCGTGCAGGCCGGGCCGGTTGGGCGGGGTGATGGTGGTGGTGACGATGTTGTTGCCGTTGTTGGAGTTGTTGGTGGTGTTGTTGTTGCCGTTGTTTTGGTGGCTGTGGCTGTGGTTATGGTTATTGTTATTGGGTGTGCCGCCGCCGCCGCCGCCGCCGACGCCGACGTTAAAGGCGCCTGGGTTCATCGTGTTGTTGGCCGTTCCTGGGTTCCCGCCCCCTTCGCGCGGCATGAAGATGGGTCGGTCTGCGAATCCGTTCTGGAACGACGTGCTGCTGTTATTGGATGCCTGGTGCAGGATTGGGAGGATCTGCTCGTCGTAGAGCTGCGCGCCAGAATCAAACGTGTCCGGGGAGAACTCAGTCACCGTCCGCGACGATCGGCCGTCGCTTGGTGGGCTGGTTGACACGTCATCGAAGAAGTCGTCCAGGCTGTCGAGCTTGGAGAAAAGGTCTCCCATGGGCGCGTCGACTCGCCCGTCGTCCGACATCATCGTGTCCGCCCTGTCAAACGAACCAGGGAAGAACCCGTAGGGGAAGTCGTCCGTGTGGAACTCCACTTCGGGTGTCATGTCCGGCTGCGCGACAACCCCCTCGTCACTCTGACACATGTAGAACGCAGCATGAATATTGGCCCGTGTCGAGTCTGTCTTGCGCGCAGGTATAGGAATCGCCCATCCTGACGGCTCCGGGATGCCGAAGAGGCTCTGCGTGCGCTCATACTCCTTTCTGACCGCCTTCGATGTCGGCCGCGTCATGCTCATGCGGAGGTGGTGCTTGTCCATAGATGACCCAGACATGGTCATGATGTTGTCTAGTACCTCTAGCGCCTCCATGCAATACTCCGTCTGCAGCAGTCGCAGGAGGGGCGAGATCATGTCGGAGCCGTGGCTGGCAATCTCCGGTTTCTTCATGTCCACCTCGGGGATGATCACGCGTAGAATTCGCATCGTCTTGATCTTCACCCATGAAGTCCCATTGGTGAGGAACCCCATTAGCATGGTGATCATTTGGCAGTCCAGTGTGGGCAAAAACCGCTCCCTGAGCGCCTCGATCATTTGCGTCGCGAAGTCGCTCCCAGTAGGATATTTAGCTCCCAGATAATTATCCAGTACCACAGACACGCTCGTCAAACCCTGCTCGTCTGCCGCCGCCATGAGAGTTTCGGCTGTCTGCACAACCCCGCGGTCGAGGAACTGCTGGTCGATGGTGTGTAAGAAGCGGGGGAGGTTGGCAATGACGGTGAAGAATAGACGACTGTCATCGCCGACCAACGCGTCGCTGGGCAGCTGGATGAGCTTCTCGAGAGTTTTCAGCGTCAAGTCGTAACAAGTCGACGACCGCAGACCCTTATACAGCAAGGGCTGCAGCCCCTCAAAAGGCCCATCCCACTTGGACGGTTGGCCATCGTATAGCAGCCGCCGTACGGTGGGGGAGTGGAAGTCCAGCTTGTTGAGGAACTCGTTAAGCATCTCGACTCCTTCAAGGAATTCACACTCGTTGATGGACTCGAGGCAGGCGCAGGTGGTCCAAAAGAGTTGAGGGAGAGCTAGAAGCTTGTCGGCATCGACCTTCACAATCAGTGTTTTGAGCGTGGTAAGGATTTCCATCGAGAACGTCTGGATCTCTGTGTCTTCGTCGGCGATGGTGTTGGACAGACGGGCGAGCATGTCTCCGAGCATGTACTGATCGAGTGATGTCAGGATGCACCTGAATATTTGGAAGGACCGGCAGGCAAGGTGCCTAACTGGACAGGAAGTCGCCCAGGTAAGTGAGAGCCTGCCCCATTGATCTTTGATGCCGGGGAAAGTGAGCTCAAACGTCTTGACCACCTCGGCCGTGAGATATTCCATGCTCGGAGGCACCTTGTTGTCGTGACCATCCACCTTTCCGTTGCTGTCTTCGTAGCCCCACACAACAGACCTGTCGTGGCGTCGGATGGCATCGATCAAACTCTCGATCCACTGCTTGGTGGCTGCCGGCGTGTTGTCGTCAATATTGGAGATGACGAGCTCGTGAATGAGATGCACCAGCATTTCCCGGGCCTGCTCCTGAACAAGCGGCGTGTAATGATCCCAGAGAACGGTGACCACCTGCAGCAGAACCGGGACGTTGTCCGCGGCGAGGCTGACGGGCGCCACCATGAGGTCAACTAGCAGGATGAGAGATAGCTGACCAAGAGAGAATCCAGCTTGCTTGGTGCCGATGGGGAGAGCTTCCGAGAGGTCCGCGCAGTAGGGAAGCACGTTGATGTCGGGCGGAGGGGGGATTGCCTCCCGCTTCTCGTTAGGCACCATAGCCTTGGGGGTGATCTGAAGCAGCAGGAACTCAATCACCCGGTTTCCCGGTGTGCTGTTTGTGCTTGCGAGGAAGACGACGATTTGTTTCGCGTACTCGACAAAATTCTGCTCTCGCCGCTCTAGGCACAAGGACATGATAAAGTCCAGGACAAGCCGCACGTTTCCGGGATGTGGCCCCGTGGCCAACGCTTGCCAGAGCGCCTGTACCTCGTTGTGCAGAGCCGCGCTAGATTTGATCGTGATTTCGAGTAGGTTGGCTAGGAGGACATATGATTGTGCAATGGGCCCGCCGTTTGGATCGACCTTGAGCTCGACGGCTTGGATCCAAGGGAGGATAACGGCGATCACGTTCCTCTGGGCACCGGCTTGCTGGTCCTTGAAATAGAACGTGAACTCGGAGAAAATGTGGAAAGCCAGCTCCGTGTGTTGTTTTGCCAGTCGCTTGGATATTTCAAATTGAGCCAGTTTATAGACCGCCTTGGTTTTGTCCGATATGCTGATGTCAAAATCCTGGATCTTGGAGCTTCGGGGTTGCGGCTGTCGTTCCTCGAGCGCTTTCAAGAGATGGGCGCCTTGCGACCTGATCGTACTCTGGTCATTGCCCAGCATGAATAGGCAAAGGCCGAGGAGCTTCCAAAACGGAATAGGGTAGTCGAGATGCTCTTGCAGCACTTCTGTCACCGCACCGAAGTAGCTCTCCAGCATCTTCGGGGCCTCGGCGAGGTAACATCTCGAGATGCAATGCTCGAGAAGATAGGGGTATTCCTGATTGTGGACTATCAGGTTCTTGAGTGCCATCTTACCAATCACGTTCATGCGGTCACTCCCCGAATTGAAGATGGCCTCGATCCAGGCCAGCATCCTTCGAACGTCGAACTGGAGGGACGCGCCGCTCTCGGTGGTGGCGCTGATGGGCCCGCCACAGAGCGCCCCCATGGCGCTCAGGGCTGCCGTGCGCAGATTTCTTTTCTCGATTTCCATGGCTGCCGTCACGGTGCCTCGCTCGCCCGCGGTCTTCTGGTCGATCACGGATTGTCTCATATTGTTCTCTCTTTGCCGTATCTGTGGCTGGTTGGGGGAGAAACCGCACCAGTCCTCCATTAGGGCGAACGCTGATTTCCGAGCTTCGAATGTCATCCACCGAGACGGGTCGTTTGTTCGATTAATTCCTTCGAAAAGCTCCTCCATGAGTCCGCAGTAGTGCCGTCGCAGTTTTTGGAACTCCCAATCCATTTGAACTTCGCCGTCCATTAGGAAGATCTTCAGATCCTTGGTATATGCCACTAGATTGTTCAGAACCCAGTCGTCTTGGTAGACCTGAGGGTCACGCAGGAAATGGGACGTGAGCTTGTACACATGCGTGATTTCGGTTCGCAGGATGTCCATCTTCCGGTTGCGCCGCGGACTGCTGTTGGTACGCTGGTGAATGCGTTGCCGTGCATCATCGTTGCAGCGGGACACCTGCCCTTGAAGCTCTTCGAGCAGCGTGCGGTAAATGTGGATGTTGATGGACCCCATAGCTATGACAACCGCCTCCCGAATGGGCGCGGATGAGGCAGAAAGCATCGGGTTGAGGTACTTGAAGAGCGTTCTTGCCGAACCAATCTTTTCAGCCGCTGAAGATGACTTGGATCCCGTTCGCCCATGCTGACCGTTCTGTGCTCCGCTGGGTTGAGCGCTACCAGGATCCGCCAGGGTGGTGCAGGCGAAAACGAGGTAGAGCTTCCACTGCTCAATCACGACACCCGGATGTGTCGTCGGGGTCTTCCCCGTCATGCGAGCACTGCTAGGTTCTGCATAAAACTGCCCTCGGTGTTCACGCGGCGGCTCCGACAGCACCGTGATGACCTTGTACAGCTGAAGTATCCTCTCGCAAATGAGATCGCGACTTAGCGTGATGGCGAACGGACACTTGTCGAAGGCGATACGAATGAAGTTGGGGAAAATCTTGAACCACAGTGTGGTGTCGTACGAAACTTCGCTGGTGCAGAGCTCGATCAGGGCCCCTTGACTGTTCGTGTTTTGCATCCCCCGCTGCAGCCTGCTCCGCTCAGCTACGGAGAGCTGCTCGTCGTTGAAACTCATGACCTGCATCGAGTCATTTTCAAGAATGTCGATGAGCCTTGGTGTGTCCTTCTCGCGACCGCTAGGCTTCCTCAGGACCGCATCAAACTCGGTGATCAGGCGCAGAACGTTAACGGCGTAGTACCGCACACTTCGAGACTGGGAACAAAGGAAGAACAGTCCGTGTGCTTCCACTTGGTCGACCTCTGCCCAGACACTGGACAAGTCGAGTTTGATGCTCCTCTTGTCAGCGACGCTGGATTCGCCGCTCTCATCTGCGGCATTCTTGGTTTTCTGTTTGATCTCCTCGATCCAGATGTGGAGGAGCTCGATGTATAGCTTGAGAGTCTTCTCGATGTGCCCCGGTCCTAGCATACCCCCATCCGACATGGTAGAGTAGCGGTCATCAAAGTTGAAGATGAAGCGGGCAAACCCCATTGTTACTTGATGAGCGTGTGACTGGCGGGCAATGGCCTTGAGCGACTGCGCAGACGACTCTGCGATGTTGTGTTGGACATGCGCCGTTCCGGTGCAGAGAAGGTTGATGAGGGTGTTGAAGGGTATGTCGGATGACAGACACCGCGGGAGGGCCTGAACGGCGACATGAAGGAGTTCGTAGAAGGCTTGTTTCTGGTCATGAGGGCTAGGGTGGTCGTCCCGGCGCGAGAAGTTGAAGGTGTCGGTGATGGGTGTTTTGGGTCCCGGGCTGTTGAACTTTTCCATCTTGTCAAATTTCTCGTCGAGGGCAGCCTGTCCGCCAAATGTGTTGTCGCAGATGATGCTGATCTTGCCGAGGATCTCGCAGAATCGGGAGTAGTAGTCCCTGACATTCTCGGAGAGTGCGGAGACCGAGACTGGCTTGGACAGTCTCTCGCCGCCCGACAGGGCCGCCCAGGCAACGGAGGGAAGGTCATGCGGTGAACCGAAAACGGGTGACGTCGGGGGCACACGCTCGGGAAAGGGAGGCGGGGGGGCATACGACTGCGGAAATGGAGGCCGGCCCTTGTCGCCCTTTTCAAGATCCGACATGATTGTGAGGAAGGCCCGAATCCCCACGACGATCCGGTCTGGGTCAAGCTGCTCGATCTTGAGCTCCCTGTTCGTCGATGTGAAGAGATCGGCATTGACTAGAGGGAAGATGATGGTTCGGAAACAGTATTCCGGGTGTTTATAACCAATGAATCGGATGATCTGGATGAGAGGGTCGATGATGGCAGTATCTGTGGCAATCAAGGCCCTCTTAGCATTAGGGAGAACGGTCTTCAAGATTTCGTCCAGCCTCCTGGTCATGCCCGAGGAGCTGTCGTTGGCGCGGTAGAGATAGGTCCACACGAGTCTCGAGATAACCTGCAAGCAGAGCGGCCGGGTGGAACGGTCCTTGAGCCGCGGCTGTAGCGGGTAGATCAACTGCAACCACTGACTAACAAACGTATCGGGCGGAGAAACGCACAACATGGTAGCGGTCAGGGGAAAGGTGCACTGCCAGTGGCGCGGCTTAACAAACATTTGCGCCAGCCGGGGTCCAACGATAGCCAACACTTCGTTCCACTTCGGATGGGCAATGTCGCTGTTGGTCGCCTTGGCGGCTATGGGAAGCACGAGCATCTCGAGGACCTGGCAGAAGGCTGATTTTACCTTGGGGCCGTGGGACCGGCTGAACAGCTTCCCGAGGGAGGCCAGGAACTCACAAGACCGGTCCCAGGCATCCTCTGGGGAGGTCTTTATGCGGAGATGCTTCATCCCTCCTAGCACGAGCTCCATCTTGTTCTCGAGATCCCGAGGCGACGAGGCCGGTCCCTTAGCATTCAGCTCTTGCAACGAGCGGTCGAGATCGGCAGCGAAGCGGTCGGTCACGGTGGTGAAGCTGATCTCGCTCATGACACCCATGAGCTGGGCAAAGAGGTTCCAATTGGATAGTTTTAGCGGCGAAACCATCAGTTGCTCGGTATCGGAAATCTTCAGCTGCCCGAATATGATGTTCTCGAGCTTGTCCTCCATTTCGGGAGTGATGGAAGCCAGCGTGCTCTGCGTCCACACCTCGAGAAGGACGCGGCAGAGCACGTAGATGGAGACGGTTGAGCGACGCTCGGCCTGGGCAACGTATTCCTGCTTTGCAGCTAGCGACATCTGGCCGCCCGGGTGACCGTCTGGCGCGGCGCCCCCCACGGCCGGCTGCATCGGCTCTGTGTTACGCCTCTGCAGCGGTCCGGGAGGAGGGTAGATCCGCGACTGCTGGAGTTGGGTTCGGGCCTCGTTGGCCGCATCGCTCTTGCTTTTTCTCCAGAGCATCATCGAGTCAATCAGCGGTCTAGGTTTCTGCTTAGCGATGTGACCGAGGGCAACGATGAGCTGATCGAAGCCAGGGTCTCTTCCGGGTCCGCATATCTGCTCTACGTGTGGCTCCGGCTCGAACGGGACCGTGATGCATTCGTTCAACTTCTCCTCTGCCTGTGCGATGAAAGACGTGAACAAGACATGGAGGGCGTACTCGCCAACTGTTTTCTGCTCGTCTTTGTGGTGGCGCGAAGAGTGCGAATGGTGGGGTGCGTGGTCGCGGCGAGACTTGCCACTATGCCTCCTCTCCATCTTCCCTCGCACCGGCATCTGACCACCACCAATCTCGCCGGCCGCGGCTGAGGAGGACCTTTCGGGAACATTGTTGGGCATCGACGCGAGGGTGGTCCCGGAGAGGGCGGTTGGTGGTCGTTGCCCTAGCGAAGCAGCATCGCTGTCGAGGCGGGGAAAAGAGTGCATTTCTGCCCTGTCCGGCGTAAGGCCAGCCCCAGCCGCAGCAATCATCTGCGGGCTAAGAGGGCTAGAAGAGGAACTAGCGAGGCTCCCGTTCCTAGAATGATGAATCCCAATGCCATGGACGATGGATGTCTGTCGGTGGTGTCCGTAGGTGGATGCTTTTGGGTCCACGACGCGCTCTATGACTCCCCCGAGAGCGCTCCGCGACGGCACATGCGATCGAGGCGGCGGCAGCTGTGTGATGAGGTCGGGGCGCTGAAGCTTTTCTATGGACGACTCGCGCGAGTGGGCGACACTTCGAGAGCCCAAGGCTACGGGGCGTATCGTCTTTTGCCAGTCGTCTTCATCCTCCTCGTCGAGTCGAGAAACCGTGCGAGGCGAGAACTTCAAGGGCTCGTGATCTGGCAACGTCGTCTGAGACGGAGCTGCTCTGGTCAGTACGGCAAGGTCTGCGAAACATGGGCTCCCCCGATCATGACTAGCTGCATTCTAATCGCGGCGAGCGTAAAGCCATGTGGAGTACAGTTAAACCGCACGGAGACGGAGGCGGCGGCGATATTAGCGAGCGACTCGGCCCGGGTGGCGGCGTCACAAGGCTCCAAGAAGGAGGGGGGAGGAGGGGATGGATTGGATGTATCGTCTGAAGTTTCGGGGATTCGATCGGTTTGCAGGGAGGCGACCAAAGAAAAAAATAAATCAAATAAAATGCATTCGCGACTCACCCATTGTTCAGAGGTCACGACTCGCATGATCCTCCTAATAGTTTGTAATCACGATATCGCAGGATCTCGACAGCAAAGTACAAGAGGGATGCGGTTGCAAGAACGAGCACAACGCCAAAGTTCTGTTTAACTTTTGACTCGGCGCGCGCTTCGAGACGTCGAGGTGCTGCCCGCCGAGCAAGGGAGGCTCTTCAGGGGCCCAACGCTGCTAGCCAATGGGCATCCTGACGGCTCGACCCCACCACTACCCGGGGTCATCGTAGTTGGCCAATCAACGCGCCATCTCCAGATGACCCCGGTTTGCCCTCTTGACATTTTGACATCGACGGAGAGTTCACAGAGAGCGACTTGTACAAGCATGGGCATGCTACGTGCACAGAAAGGACACCACACTAGCCTGGAAGCTGAAGCATCAGGGCAATATTGGTTGTGGATGTATGGGCTTGTCAAGCATTTGGACAACCTGGAAATCCTCGTGTACCCAAGACGAAAGCACCGGTTACCCAAACACAGTTGGCCAACGTCAGGACCGAGTTAAACAGTGGCGTCGTCGGCTCTCAGAGCAAACAAACAGCTGGCACAAAACACAGTATTATTCCGGCCGAACGAGTTTATCAAATGAATCCCAATGGTGCATGATGCAGACGGCTACCTCCTCGGCATGATGCTCCTCAACATGATGTCAAGTTCATGTGGCCTGGAGGAAGCGCATGGCGCAGGTGACCTCATGTCTGAGCACCCGAGTCGCAACCTGCTCCACCTCTCCTAGGTCCGTTCCTGTGGGATGAACATGAAGGCAAGAGTCGACTCCCGAGCAGTCTTGCCGTGGGGCCACGCCCGGGATGATCCCGGATTCTCGGGTGCCTCTCTCTCTTTCTCCCGGTGTAATTATCACGTTACTGAGGCGCCGGTCTTATGAAATGCGCATTTAAGCCGACGATCTCAAGCCTCGACGAGGCCATGATACCGAGCTTTGCGCAGTAAATATCCATGTAACAACAAGGCAACTCTCGGCCGAAACGGGGGGCAGTTTGCGGTCGTTCGGCTGCGATGCCGCATGCCCCGCTAACCTCTGCCGCAGGTCGGAGTTGTTGCGGAGCGGCTTCTCTTTTCGCTGCGTTGTTCTCGAGCCGAAAGCGCGGCCAAGCTACTGCAGTAAATTCTCAACCGAGCGGCTTCCTTCCGGACTTCCAGGCTGCTTGGCATTTGCTGCCCCGCTCTGTCGCCCCCCAGGCCGCTGGCGAATCGAGATGGAACGTTGGATTGTATAAAGTGTGCGGGAGACGGGAGTTCCAGGCAAGGGTCGGCTTCTCTCCAACCGAGCCATCGAATCAACTGGAATGAGTGGACGGCCCGCCCCTGGGCGGTTGAGCTGATGGGGTTCGGGGTAAGGAAGGTGGGGGCTGCGGCTTCCATCTCATTCGGGCAGGGTGAACACCACCGAATAGGCCAACGGAGAGAGCAGTCTGTCCGCCTCAGCATAACTGCCCTACCGGAAAACGAGGGAGGTATCCGTACGAATAAGGTAAATAAAACCCTGGCATGCATATTGATTATCTGACCGTCTGGATTACGTATACCATGGCTCATGTCTGTAGCTGAGAAAGCCTGGGATATGGCCGAAGGCACGACCGGGGACTTTTCGCATGCCAGTGGAGTCAATCTATGTAGTCGCACAGTTCATTTAGAAACTCAAACGCCAGACATTCGGAGTCGTATTCGGCTTCCATCTCGCATACCAGTACAGGACAAGACTCCAGCCATCGTGAGGAGTTCCGTAATTATAAATGTTCGCTGAGTAGGTAAAACTTTTATGTATAGGTATTGGATTGAAACATGACCATGATTGCCCCGCCTCTGTGCCACGGTCAAATGTTTTCTATATTATGCCGATAGGTATGTAGTTACTTAGGTAGGTAGGAGAGAAGTTCTACTTGCGTGGAAACAACCTACCGAGAAACCCCTCCAACCTGACAGTGAGTTAGCTCGGTTAGGTACAGAATACTCGTACAAATTCCTGTATCGAGTAATTATGGGGTCAAACAATCCCCTGCAGGTCCCAGGCCCCCTCTGCGCAAAGGGCTGCAGGTTAAGCAGGCTATGCTTGGCAAACTTGCCGGGCTGACGGTGGTGCCACGGAGCGCGAGACCGCCCGGACGAGGGTCCATGGGTTGCATGTGCGGTGTGGCTTTCTGTCGATAAGTCCGCTGCGAAGGCGGCCGCGGATCCTAGTTGAAATTTCCAGATCTTCTTGACCTCAACCCCCTTTTCCTTCGCGCTTTCCGCCTCCTCCTTCTCTTTCTCTCCACATTCCCGCGCACTTTCGCCGGTTGTGTCCTCGCCTTCTCTTTTTCTCCAATTGCGCGTGGCGACGTGCAATCCCGCGACGCCCGCACTTCTTCTCTTTTTTTCTCCGCCGCTTGGATCCGTTGTCCGTCTGCTTCGGCTTCAACTTTTGGCGACGCCACGCCGATCGGGCCGTATCCATTTTTACGGCTAACGTTTTCCCGCGAACCCATCTCAGCTTCGGTCTTCGGGGACGGTGAATGTTGTTCTTAGAGAGACGGACTTCACTGGCCGCATCTCTCTCGCCGCTAACAAGTGCTCCTGTGTTCTGATTTGACGCTTGTCCGTCACGGATTCGTGCAGCTCGGCGCGTCCCGAATCCGACGAGATTCTCCTTCTTCCTTGTCGCCATGGCTGAACTCGACACTCTGGACGTCATCGTCCTGGCTGCCATCTTCCTCGGGACGGTGGCCTACTTCACCAAAGGGAAATACTGGGCCGTCACCAAAGACCCGTATGCGAGCTCCTTCGCCGGTGCCAATGGCGCCAAAGCGGGTAAGACTCGCGACATCGTCGAGAAGATGGAGGAATCCGGCAAAAATTGCATCATCTTCTACGGCTCACAAACGGGTACCGCTGAGGATTACGCGTCGAGACTAGCAAAGGAGGGCAAGAGCCGCTTCGGCCTCGAGACCATGGTCGCTGATTTGGAGGACTACGACTACGACAACCTGGATGCTGTCCCCAGCGACAAGGTCGTCATGTTCGTGCTGGCCACATACGGCGAGGGCGAACCCACGGATAACGCTGTCGACTTCACCGAGTTCATCACCGGCGAGAGCGCATCCTTCACCCTCGACAACGACCCCCCTCTTGGCAACCTGAACTACGTCGCATTCGGCCTGGGCAACAACACGTACGAACACTACAACTCAATGGTCCGCAACGTTGACAAGGCTCTGAAGGCCGCCGGCGCCCATCGCATCGGAGAGGCCGGCGAGGGCGACGACGGCGCCGGCACCATGGAGGAGGACTTCTTGGCTTGGAAGGACCCCATGTGGACCGCTCTGGCTGAAAAGATGGGTCTGGAGGAGCGCGAGGCCGTTTACGAGCCGATCTTTGGTATCACCGACAGGGAGGGTCTTACTCGCGACGCGCCCGAAGTCTACGTCGGCGAGCCCAACAAGACGCACCTCGATGGAACCCCCAAGGGCCCCTTCAACGCCCACAACCCGTACATTGCCCCCATTCAGAAGTCCTCCGAGCTGTTCAACGTCAAAGACCGCAACTGCCTACACATGGAAGTCGATATCAGTGGCTCCAACCTGAGCTATCAGACCGGTGATCACATTGCGGTCTGGCCTACCAACGCCGGCGAGGAGGTCGACCGTTTCTTGGACGTCTTCGGTCTCACCAGCAAGCGCCACAATGTCATCAGCGTCAAGGCCCTCGAACCGACTGCCAAGGTGCCTTTCCCAACCCCGACCACCTTCGACGCCGTCGCCCGTTACCACATGGAAATCTGTGCTCCAGTCTCTCGCCAATTCATCGCCACTCTCGCCGCGTTCGCGCCCGACGACGAGTCCAAGGCCGAGATGACCAAGCTCGGCAGCGACAAGGACTACTTCCACTCCAAGGTTAATGCTCATTGTCTCAACATCGCTCGTCTCCTCGCGGTTGTGAGCAAGGGCAAGAAGTGGGACAACGTTCCGTTTTCCGCTCTCATCGAAGGCGTCACCAAGCTGCAGCCCCGCTACTACTCCATCTCGTCTTCCTCTCTGGAGCAGCCCAAGTTGATCTCCATTACCGCAGTGGTCGAATCGCAAAACCTCCCGGGCCGCGGCGACCCTTTCAGGGGTGTCGCGACAAACTATCTCCTGGCTCTCAAGGAGAAGCAGAACGGCGACCCGAACCCCAGCCCTTTCGGCCTGACGTACGAGATTACGGGACCCCGCAACAGATTCGACGGCATCCACGTTCCGGTTCACGTCCGCCACTCCAACTTCAAGCTTCCCTCGGACCCCACAAGACCGGTGATCATGGTCGGTCCCGGTACCGGTGTCGCCCCGTTCAGAGGTTTCGTCCGTGAAAGGAAGAAGATGGTTGAGAACGGCCAGACTGTTGGCAAGACCATCCTCTTCTTTGGCTGCCGGAAGTCGGCCGAGGACTTTTTGTACAAGGACGAGTGGGAGGTGCGTCCTAAATCTTTTTCCCTTGGCCCGCAAAGACATAATTTTGCTAACCCTCTCCGCAGGAAGCTAAGCAGGTGCTTGGTGACAAGTTCGAGATTGTCCTCGCCTTCTCTCGTGAGGGGTCCAAGAAGGTCTACGTCCAGCACCGGTTGAAGGAGCGCGCCAAGGAGGTCAACGAGTTGTTGCGACAGAAGGCATATTTCTATGTCTGCGGTGACGCCGCCAACATGGCTCGCGAAGTCAACACCGTCCTGGCGCAGATTCTCTGTGGGGAGCGCGGCATCCCGGAAGAAAAGGCTGAGGAGGTCGTCAAGCAGATGCGGGCGACGAACCAGTACCAGGTACGTTTCGAGTCTTGCAATCTACGCCGAACTAGTTGCTAATGTGTCGAAATAGGAGGACGTTTGGTCCTAAACGAATATGCTTATCAGTGGGATTTATGCCACTGTGTAAACAGCGACGGCGCTAAGGTCAGGGCAGCGTTAGCAATTCAGCATCGGTTACTTCTGGGATAGATGGGAGTTTTGTTCATGCTGCATCGGTTTCGCTGTCGGCCAGCTTTTTAGAATAATGTGTCTTTTCTTCCCTCCTGTACACCCCCATTAGGTTTGGCATCATCCCTTCGAGGACGCATGTGCTTATAGCTCTTCTCCGTACTAC